AAAAAGCAAAGAATTAATGAGTATATCAAAATCTAATATTCATGCATAAATTATATTATAATGACGGATCACATTTGTAAATAAAGCAAATCATAATTAAGACTACAAATAGAAATTAACAAAAGAAGGATAAAGATATTTTTTCTATTATGAAATTTAGACATTTTTATTCTTATTTAAAACCTCAATTTTTTTGAGCTAAAGCTTAATTTTAAATATAAAAATATTTCTAATTTAAATTAAATAGTTCATGTAGAAATTAAAATTTCATCAACTGTGTGTGTTGGTTGGTACACATTGTGATATTTCTTTTAATTTTTATGATTTTTAGCTAATATAATTTTTAGCCAATATTGTTTAGAAATTGGTTTGAAGTGAAATAATATTAATAAAAATAGTGTTTAAATTATCAATTATAAAATAATTATATAAATTAAAATTATCTTCATATTTGTTTTTAATTGGATGGATTCTGATTAAATAAATCATTAAATATAAAATAAAACAGTAAATTTAAGATGGATTGGTTTGTTATAAGATTTATTTAATATCTAAAAGTAAAAAAATGAAAAGATATATTAAATTATATTTAAAATTACATATTTAAAAGCATTATTTCATAATTTTAATTAACATTATTTTTTAATACATAGATTATTTATTTATTTGCTTGGAAACAATCTTTATTTATCTATATTTCTTTATATCAAGTTTTATACGTACGTACGTATGTTACAACACAACAGCTATTCTATATTGAAATTGCGGATTAAGATAATAAATAAAAAGATTATTTAAAAGTTAATCAGTATTGTTATTATTATTTATTTATTTAGTATTATCCAAGCGATATAAGACACTAGAAAGAGATAGATAAAAAAGATAGATAGATAGATAAATGTAGGCAACATATTATTGCGAGTAAAAGGGACATCAAGATAATCCAAGGAATATTTGCTGTATAAATTATAACTGTCCTAAGAGAGGCATCATATGTTCCCACTGTTTGTTGCAGGAGCATAATGACCACGTCAAATAGTGTGTTCCTCTTAAGGAATTAATAAAGTCATTAAATAAGGCTAATAATCCTAAAAATATAGAAGATCTTGGAAATAGTGGATGCGACATATTAAAATAGCATAAATAGATTATCATAGGATTTAAGAATTTTATAAGCTAATTAAAGAAATCAATAGAAAACATCGAATTTGCCATAGAGTAGCAAATGAAGAAACTTTTAGAAGATGCAGACATTTTTGTAGGCGATGCATTTGAAGTATTATTAGAGAAAATTAACTAACCAGTATTAAATCTAAACGATATCGAAAAAGATCTCATTAAATTCATGCCAATGATCTCAATAGGATACGATGGTAAATGTTTGCACTTATTAATTCTTTATAAATTCACTTTAAAATTCAGATTTTATATAATCAGCACCAAAAAGCTAACATTAAAATTTACAATTTTCAAATACTCGATTTATTAGATAATGCTGCATTTTCCTTATGGCAAAGGTATATTGTAGGTATATATGCCTGAAGATATTTTATGAATGACAAAGATAAATAAGATAGGAAATATTTTACTTTATTTAAATTCAGATACAATAAAAGCTATTTTAAAAAAATAAATATTATTGAGCAAATAAATATCTTGTTAACCAATATCTTCTTTATTGAATCCACATAAAAAATAAATAAAGAAATAAATATTAAATAAATTGATAAATAATTCAATCAATCAATAAATCAATGGTTTGGAAATTTTTTTTGTAATACATTTTAACGTTTAGTTGCAAAAGATTGTTTAATTTAAAGCAAAAAAGCTATTTATAAGTGTTTATTAAAAAATATAAATTGAATAAGCATTTTTAAATATAAATAGGGGAGATTGACAGTTTAGGAGAAATCCTGAGAAATAAAGAAGTAGACAGAATAATGTAGAGTTCTGTATTGTTAGATAGAGAGGCTAGATATTGGATGTAGAAGTGTGCAGATGATTTGAATTCTCTAAAAAATAAATTACTCAGTGTAACTTTTGAAACACCAAGACAAATTGTGGGAGAAAACAGGTTCGGGTAATTTCTTGATAACTGGACATTAGATGGAATTAATGCGATTACCTTTTAGTAAAATTAAAATATGTTTGAAAAAGATATATGGCTAATAGGATTTGGTGTCTTTGAAGCTCAAAATATGAGCGCCCTTCCTTCTCCGCCAAAACTCACTGTGTGTCTCAGCGAAGGAAAAATTGCTGAAGAAAAGGTATTTTAAAATTATTATTTTTATTTATTATAAATTTTCATATTTATTCTACTTGATAAATTTATTATTTTAATCTATAATTTTTAAATAATAGTTGATCCTTCGACAATAAATATAATTATCAAATCAGATACAGTTTAAAAATAAAATGGCCACAATATACTTGGAGAAAGCATTAAAACTAAACCCAAAATATTAATATACACTTTCAATAACTTCAGATTAAACTTATCTTACTTATGCAGGTTTTAACGGCTGTGTCGATACTAAAGACTTTACATATTTCGAATCCCAAATAGTAAGACCTATTTCGAATAATGGCACTAACACTATGATGGGACAATTTCCTTATTTAGTCTATGAAGTCTAATCAAAATGAAAAGCAAAAAAAAAGTAAAAAATATAAATATGACCAAACTTAAACAATAAATTAAAATTTAAATGAGTAAGTCAATCTAAAACACTTAATAATAAGGCGATAATCATAGAAATAATCAAGATAAATAACTTAATATTCTTCCATAGTCTTCTAAATAACTTTATTTTCCTGCCTGATCTCTTCCATTTATTATTTAGCCATCAGACTTATCTAATCAAATAAAAAAATAAATTAATGAAAGAATCAACAAACACTTTTTAATTTTAATAAATTATAATAATAAATTTATGAATGACACTTATATAACAATTACATATATAAATTCTTTTTATAATAAACAAATATATAAATCCTTATCATTGTATTATATTCAATTTCATCAAAGCATTTTACTTTCTGTCATTTTTTTTATAAAATAAAGTTTATATTTTTATGTGTATTTTTTTAAATTTTAAATGGCTTAATAAAATAATTTAAGAGATATAATTAACCATAAACTATTTATTTCATTTAATTTATTGTAGATCGATACTAAAATAAGTATGTTTTATAGATATTAGATAATTTTAAAATAATAAAAGAATGAAACAAAAAAATTAACTTCATTTAATTGATTTTTAAGTATTTGTTAATAAATTGCTTCAAATGAAGTAAATTATTTAATTTAAGTTTAGATGCATATATAATACATTTTAAAAACATTCAATTCGATTGTTTTGGATGTGAAAAAACAAACATAAAATTTTGTTATTTTAAATAATAATAAATAAACAAACAATGAGGTCATTCATATTTCCTCTTTTAAGTTTAAGCCAAAATCTAAGAGAAATCTGAGGTTTAGTTTGTTTTCATACATTTCTTAAAGTTTTAATTGATCTTCAGTAGATACTCTTTTGAGATAATTCAAAAAAATTAATTTACTTACTTATTTTTAATGTGAAATAAAAAGAAACTAATTAAAAATGTTAATAATCGAAGAGAAAATACAAAAAATCATTATTACAAATTATTGTCTAATGTCAAAATTTATATTTTAGTTAAATTTATTAAATTGTTAATAAATTTGTCAGCTTCATAATAACCAATTTTGTTGTCCATCCTTTTTTTTAAATGTAAATATTTTTTTAATTTAAAAATTTTTAAAAATAGAACAAATCTTTTTCAAAATTATAAATTGGTTGATCTAATAAAAAATAGAAATATAGAAAATTTGCTATTAGATTGTTAAATTTAAATATTAGAAAATCTTTATACGAGATGTGCAACTCCAGTTTAAACAGATTTTTTAATTATGTTAAAGCAGAACCTAAATTTAGTAGACCTTCCTCACTTATTAGATTTCTGCTATATTAAATATAATTTTAGACATTATAATTAATAAAATTAAAATATAGTAATTATTATAATTAACATACTAGGTAAGTAAATAAATAAATAAAAATACCATAAACTCTCATAAAATATGATCGATTATTCTTAAATTTTTATTATCAATAAATACAAATAATATTATTTTTGGCTTTAAAATTTTGATCAATTAAAAAATGAATTAATTGTGAGAATTTACGGTATTTCTACATTTAGTTTAATATAATTAGAGTTAATAGACAGTTAAAGATTGTTAATTTTTGAAAATTAATAAATAAATAATTCATAAAAATTGTGGAATAAAATTTTTATTTAGTTATGATCTAAAATAATTAATAGAAATAAACTTTATTTATTATTCTGAAGGAATAAAATAATAAATTTTACTAGAGAATGAGTTTCAAAGTGGAAAGTTTGGCACAATCTTACAAGGCAGAAACAATAACTGTTAGACATTCATTCGAAATTTGATTATCACTTAGAGATGTTTAATAAAATTAAATAAATTAAAAGTAGTTGAAAATTTAAATTTAAAAATTAATTTAATAAATAAAATATTTCTTTATATAAATCACACAAGAAAAAATTAATCAAAAATTATTGATTAAAAAATTACCTAATATTCAAATATAAAGTCTCAAGATTTTAACACTTTGACAAAGATTCACCTAATTTCTATGCGTTTTCATTATTAATTTTATTCTTGCTTTTATGACATAATTGAGAAAAGAGCATGAATAAAAGTTAGAAAGCATAAATTAAAATAATAAATTGATATTTAAATTATAATTTTTTATTTGTAAATGAGTAAAAAAATACAAATTAGTTTAATGATTTAATTTTTGAATAATTCAAAAAAATAATTGTAATTTTACCTAAGATCTAGATGTAAAGTTTAAAGATTTGTGCATTTATTTAAAATAAGAGCAAGACTTTCTAAACCTTCAAAGTTAATTTAATTTTTCCTTCCAAAATCAAAAAATTATTAATTAAATATTTTAAAAATAACAATTGTAATAAATAAAAAGGCGATCGTTTAAAATGATTTTTAATTAATTTAATAAATAAAAAATTAATTATTTACCCAAGGCATAAATACAAGTCCGAGAGATTAGAGAAGATTTTTTGAGAAATAATTTAATTTGTTGAAGTAGAAATTTTAGAAATGCAGTCATTACTTTTATAATAAAGAAAGAATAATTTTAGTTTTTAAAAGCATAAAGTAAATAATTATTAACTAATTCTTTATAAAATCAAATCAAATAAAATGATTGAAAAAACAATTAATGTTTATATTTCATTTATTGTTTATCTATTGAAATTAAAAATAAGTTAATTATAGTTTTTTAAATTATAATTAAATAAACGAATTATACGGTAAAAATATTTTTAAGCTAGAGAGATTTGTGCAATCAGATAAAGCACTAAAGATATTTTCAGCTCCTTCATTTCCAATTTCATTTTTATTTTTCTGATCTTAAACACTAAATTTTAGTTAAAAATAAAAATTTTAGAAGGGAAGTCTTAAAAAAAAATTAAAAATAAGATAATTATAATAGAAAATTTTTAAATTAAAAGGTAAAATAAATAAAAAATTTGTTATAATCGCCACCCCACCCAATAAGTATTAATTATTACAATTTTTTTAAAAATATAATGAAAAATTTTACCTAACATTAAGTTTAAAATTTGACAATAAAGCACAATTTTTCAAGGCAGTAGATAAGCTTAAAGCACCACATAAACCAAAAGAATATTGACTTTATATTTAATATTATAAATTGATTAATGAACATAAATTAAAGAGAAAGCAATAAATGTAAGCAATATTTCAAAATAACACTTCTATACACTGAAAAATATTAAAATAGAAAATAAGTTATTAATTATAATTTGTATTCAAATAGAAGTTTTTTATTCACATTTAAATAATGATCAAAAATAGTAAAGAAACACAATGATTTTTACTCTAGTTCCAGTGTTAAATTAGTAAGTTTTGTGCAATTAGCCAAAGCAGAAAATAATTTTTTTGCTTCTTCTTCACTAATTTTATGCTTTAGATCTCTATGTCTTAGTTTTATAACAAAAATTTTTAATTTTATTATTCAAGATATTATTTTATTTAGATTTAAATATAAATAATAAAAAATAATTTAAAGCAAATAAATACTAATTTAGCTTAAGAGTCAAAGTAGTGAGTTAAGAAGCACATTTTGCTAAAGCATATCCTAAATTAGAAAGGTCTTTGATGTCATTGTAGCTTTTTGAGATATTTAAAAAAGTATTTATATTTAACTATTATAAAGAAATCGACATTTTCATAATTTGAATATCTAAATTATTAAAAAAATTAACATTTTCAAAAAAAAGCAATTTGCATTTCACAGAATAAAAGCGAGAAATATTTAATTCATTTATTTTGAATTACTCTACAGAAAAAATTCATTTATCAATTAAAGAAAATCAATGATTGATTACACCAAATCTAGAGTCAAATCTGTAAGATGAGTGCATTTTTCTAAAGCTAAGGCTAAGTTTTAATAACCCTTAAAATTGATAGGATTGAATCTTTTATATTTTAAATTTTAAGATTAGAAACAATATTAAAAAATAAAAATAATTATTTAAAGTTTAAAGCATTTATTAGTAATTAAAGCCATATATATGAATTAATTTCTGAAGAAGTTTCATTTTAAATAAAATATGTATGAACAACGTCTAAGTTTTAAATAATTGTAAAATATATATGATTACCTAAGATTAAGATCCAAAGCAGATAGTTTTTATAAATTACTTATTGCTAAAAATAAGCTTGAAATACCATCTCCTCCAATTTAATTGTATCTAAAATGTTTAAAACTAATTAAAATGAAATAAAAATTAAAAGAAACTAACCCTAAATTATCAAGAGAGAAGCTCAAAGCTGAGAGATTAGTACATTTTCTTAAAGCATAACTTACATTTTATAATCCACTATCGCCAATTTTTGAATTACTTTGTTAAATAAGGGTTAATTTATATGAGTGTTTTTTTAATTTGATAAAAAATAGTTAAAACCAAATCATTCGTAAAAAATTAATTAAATAAATAAATGGAATCGATAGTCAAAAGCAATTTGTCAACTTTTATCTAAAAGCTCTAAATAAGGCATTAAAATAATTTTAAATTTAAGATAGAATCAATCAATAAATGCATAAACAAAAAAATCTACCATAATTTAAGCTATAATTTTGAAAGGTTAGTGCATGTTTCTAATAAAGATATTAAACCTTTTTATACATCATAACTAACTTGTCTACCTCTTTTTTTATATATTTTAATTATTAATTTAACATTTATATTTAAAGAATCAAATAGTTAGATTTATTTTTGCTAATAGTGATATTATTGTAGATCTTCATTTATTAAGGATTAATTAATTATAGATACAATGATCCAAAATTTATCAAAAAAACTTAAAAAATTAGTTTAGTTATTCTTAAAAGCTCTTATTTAATATTTGAGGAATTGCAATAGTATCAATTAAATTTTTATTAACCAATAAATAAATAAATAAATAAATAATTAACATATTTTACTTAAGATCAAATTCTAAATTAGAGAGATTAGTGCATTTTTTTAGAGAAGAAACAAGCCTTGAAAAACTATAATTGTCCGTTTATTCACTTTGAATTTTTGAAAAAAAATAAAGTAAAAAATTATGAGTTTATTTATTAAATAATAAATTTAAAAAGAACATCTTTAATATTGCATTGCTATAATAGTAATTTTATTATATTTTTTAATTTGAAAAATTTACTAAAAGTCAAGTCGTAAATTTTTGATGTTAGTATATTATTCAACAAAAGATCTAAAGCTTGAAATGTTCTCGTCAGTTAATCTTCATTTATTTTTAAATATACATTTTTTAATCATATCAAAAGAAAATAAACTTATCAAAATAATTAATTAATTTAAATAATAAAATAAACAAATTAAAATTAAACTTCTTAAAAAATAAATAATTATTTTAAACAATTATTTCTTGTTAACTCTAAAACAAAATTTTTTTTAATTTTTAGAAATTATTTTAAAATTATATTAATGAAGACTTACTAGATATCAAATTTAGAAGCTGAAAGATGTGCTAACTTAGTTAAAGTGTTACCTAAACTTGATAAATCATCATACTATTTGCTTTGATACCTATTTTTTGTTTTTGAGATTTATTTACTTAAAAAATATAAATAAATAAAATAATATTTGTTTAAATAACATCCTTAATATTTTTCTAGATATTTTCTTTTATTATTTATTCATTTTTTAGAATTAAGACAACCAAATGATTATTTTTTTGTTAAGTTTAATTAGAAATAAAATTTAAGTACTGACTGATATTAATTCAATTAGTAAATTTCAATAGCAAATTATATGAAATCTAAAGTTAAATTAATTTTAATATTTTTTTATCAAAATTAACTTCGTCTTTTCATTATAAATAAAATTTATTAAATGTTATTAGACAATTTTAAATGCTAAAACTTAATTTCTTTCTTATTTTTAACAAATAAAGATATTATGTAAATATTTACTAGCCTATTTTGAGGTTAAAAGCTTAGAGATTAGTGTGTTTAGACAGAGCAAGAGCTAAATTTGATATTTACAAAATATCATCATTACTAACATCTCTTTAAAAAAAGATTATAAATTTTTAAATTTATGAAAAATGAAAAGAAAATGTAAAGAAATCAATAAAAAAAATGAAGAATTTTTATTCTTAATGTTAAATAAAAATTTACCCAAATGAAAGACTTAATTATGCTAGATTTGGGCATTTTTCTAAAGCGTAGCTTAAAAATGCTATTTCTACCTCACCAATATAACAGCTTTTTAAACTATTAAAGTATTAAAAATTTAAAATAGATTTCTTAAAAATAAATTAAAAATATATTAAATGCAACAAAAAAACTAATTTAATAAATAGTAATCAATTAATAATGTTTAAGTCCTAATCAAAATTTTACTCAAAATGGAGGTTCAAAGTTGAAATATTCGAACACTCAGATAAAGCAGAACATATCTCCATGACACCGTATCCTTCTTTTAATCTAAGTTAATTTTTTTGCAATAAAAAATTAGATAAATAACAAATAAAAATCTACTGCATTTAACCATAATGAAGATATAAAAATATATTTATTATTTATTCATAATAAAAAAATAAATGATAAAATTACTCTACATCAAGTGTTAAATTAGTAAGATTTATGCATTCTCTTAAAGCTTAACATAGATTATCTAAGCCTTTCCTTCCAATTTATCCCCTTATTTTATTATTTATAAATTTATATAGAACTTGAAAAGAATTTGTTAATTAAAATAAATTTCTATTTTAATCTGATAATAAATAACAAAATTAGTTAAATTTTACTTTAAATTTAATTCCAAAGTTGTTAGATTTGTACATTTTTATAATGCACTGCTTATAGTAGATGCAATATAGTCATCAGAGTAATTTTAACACCTTATTATTATATATATTTATTAATAAATTATTCCTTGTTAGTATTCATGCTTAATTTAAGTAATTATCAAATATTTTACTTAATATTTATTTTAAGATTAGTGTGAAACTGTAGAGAAGAGTTTGTAAACTTTTTTGAAAAATAAATTGAAGTCAAGATTATTGATTTGAGATTAAGTTACATCTTAAATTCTTGTATACTCCTATGAGCTTTTATTAGGGATATCAGAGTAGCAAAATTAATTAGCAAAGTTGTTCTTAAAAGGTCTATAATAACCTTTACTAATGCTTTTTACTAAATTATTTTGTTTTTTTTCAGTTAAACAGGATTTTACGAATCTACTTAGATATCATTTTTCAAATATTTTTTTAAAATAAGCTAATTTTATTAAATAAATAAATTACAAAAACTGATTTTGATTTTGAATTAATTTTTTTGAAGAATTAAGGGAAAATTATTAATTAAAATAGATAGATAAATAGTATTTAGATATCGAAAGAAAAAATTTATTTATAAAAAATAGACAAAAACAAAAATACAAATATATTTATAAAAGATTAATAAATTAATTAAGAATTTTCTTGTAGCTTCGAGAAATTAAATGATAAAGTAGAAAAATATCATAACATTTTTTTAATTAGATAAATGAATTTATTAATGATGAGAATAATCTCATCTCTACTTTCGAAATCAAAAAAGTACATAGATAGTTATTATTGTTTTTAGATTACTTTATATTTATCTTTTATATAAAACTTAATATTAAAAATATTTAGATTGAGTGATTGATTATGGGATTAAAAATAATATTATTTTATTAATTAGTGGTATTTAATTACTACAATAATATTCTTTTACATGATTATTTTGATTATTGAGGATAAGATTTATTTCTTAAAAACCAAGAATCACCAAAAATTGATTAAAACATGTTTTATAAGGAAAAATAATTAAATAATATATATTGCTAATCCTGTAAAATTTCATTTAATTTTTATGATTTTAAGCTAATTTTATAAACATTACATAAATTTAATTAACTAATTGAAGATTATAATATTACTATCAATTTTATAATATACATTAAATAGTATAAAATCAGATGCTCTCTTAATTATTTTACTCTTTTAAATTTTATTAACTTTAACTAAAAAGTTTAAATAATAAATATTAATTACTCACTCATAAAATTTTGAATGTAATAAAAATTTACATCCTAAAATATATAGAAAATATTTCCAAAGTCAGACTTAAAAATTCAGTTCTTAAAGAATCAAAACAGTATTTTACACACTCAATCAATATAATAAATTTAATTTTAAAATATTTACTATTTTAGCTATTATTTTCTAATCTTTGTATTTATTTATTCTATTTCTTCAAATTTTTATTTTTAATAGCAAAAGAACTGTTTTTGAATATTAAAGCCTATTAGAACATTTATTTTATTTATTATTTTTATTTAAATAAATATAATTAAAATCTCATTTAAAATGTTTAATATAATTTAATTCAACTTACAATTATTTAAAGATAAATAATAACAACTCTAGTTAGTTTTTAAATCAAATATTTAATTCAAGAATTTAAATTTTTTTTTTCTTTTAAATTAAAAAAATTTTATAAAAATTCAAATTTAAAAAATATACAATTCAATTTTAATATTAAAGTTCTTCACACTCTAATATAGTCAAAGAGTCTTTGTCATAAACTAATTCAAATCCTAAATAATATTCTTAGTTTAGGTCTATTAAATTTAACTTATCATCATTTATTTCATTAATATTTTCTCTTTTAGGATAATCACTCACTTAGAACATTTTATTTTTTACACAAAATCTTATTTCTATCTAATTATATTCTTCTGGATATTTCACATCTCTCAAGCATTTCCCTTTTATTACTTTGCTAACTCCTCTATCACTATAACTACTTTCAGTTGTAAAACTATTAATAAAGCTATTTTCATAAATATATTTCTAATCTTTGTGAGATTTACCAACTAGACCAATAAATAAATATCTATTTGGATATTTTAATTCAAGATTAATAACTATTCTATACAAACAATCCTATTTTATTTTCATGTAAAAAATAAAAAAACCTTCTTTAACAATTTCAAATTTTTAGTTGCCTTCATTATCATAGCTTTATTTTCCATTAGTATTATAATTATTCTAATTACTTATTTCTACTTCTAACTTGCAAGGATAAGGTTTGACTAATTATTCGATTTCAAAAATAGGAAACCTTCTCAGTAGCTTAGTGATACTCTCTAATTTCTATTTTGTCAATTTTTTATCTAGCTTGAATATCTAATTATAAATTAGGTAGGAGGAAGGTTATAATTTTGAAGAGATGATCATATTATTATCTTCTTCTTTCAATTATTAGTATTACTCATTTAGATCAACGATTTTATTTACAAGTGTTTCTATGTATTCAATTTGATCTTAGCTTAATTTTTCTAAACCTATTTGAATTTATTTCTTGCCTTGCTAAAAAACATCCTTGTCAATATTTAAGATATTTATTAAATCTTAAATTTTTAGGAGTTCAGACTTAACAGATTAAAGATAATTTTCATTACAATTGTTAGTTTTATTTCCTATAAGGTTGAGAAGTGTGTATAAATTTTCATTTTCTTTTAACAAAATATTTTAATTTTGTTATTATTTTTTAAATTCTTCAATTAGTATATTATTTTTTTAGGAGAAAAGCTGTAAATTAGATAAATATTTACCATCAACTAGCTCGATTTATGATAAAATAGAATCTTTAAAAGATTTGAGTACATTTAAATTTATGGTTTAGTATTGATTTAATTGAGATAATTGTTATTAAATTTTATTTTTATAGTTTTCTTGATTCTATTTGTTTGTCTTAAATATTTATAAAATTTGTTCAGCTTATTATTATTTTTATGTATCAGAATCTATAATATTTTTTAGAGCATCAAATTAAGCTATTTCTCGATAATAATCAAATAACTGGTTTGTCTTTTCGGAAATACCATCTGCATAGATTAGCATATTCTTCTTTTATTTTTGCAATGTATGTTCTAATTCATTTTAAAAATCTTCAAAGAACTTAACTATATCCTTTTAAATTAAGTTTTAATTTCCTTAATACTTAGAAAATGACTAAATTTGTATCATTAAATCATATTCATCTAATAGTGGCCAATTTGTTAAGACTGTATTGTCTAATTTATCTTTTATATCTTATAAAAGCAGACATTATTTGAAATTATTATTAGAACGAATACAATTAGAGCAAGCATAGATATCATCAGAGTCATCACTATCAGTTTGTAAACATAAGCAGGTTAAATTATGCTTTTAGCAAAGTATTTGCTTAAAATTTTAACTATTATTTAATATATTTTCCATTTATTTTTATCAAATTAAAATCTAATTAATTTATTATAAATAATGACCAGAAACTATAGTGCATTTAATTTATTTGCTCTGCTTAGAGAAATTTTAGCAAATATTTCTATTTAAAATTATTAACGCAAAGATATTTATAAAAAAAAAGGGGTTTCAGTTATCTTTGAGAGCACAATATATATTAAATTATTAGGTTATAAAATAGTAAATTCAATTTAAATAAAAATAATTATTTTGTTGTCACATTTATGATTTTTGGATATTATAAAATACAGAGGAAAACCATTAAAAGAATAAATAGCATTCTCAAAATTATAAAACTATTGCAAAGTTTTACTCCTATATTTAGATACTGACCTAAGTAATTGATTAAATATTCTAATTAACAATAAAATTATAAAAGAATATCTTTCTAGAAGTATTACATAATAAATAATTATTATTTAAATTACTTACGCATTATTTTTTCTAATTTAAACATCATTTCACTTAATCCACCTACCATTTTCGAAGTTTGTTATCTTACAAAAGGATAGTATGATTTTATATTTGTCTCTTAAAAATTGAGTCGCAAAAATTATTAATTTTGTTTATTTGATGTTAAATATCTAGCAAAGCAAGTATATAAACTAGCTTTTTATAAATATATATGATTATTTTTTTAAGAATAGTAACTTGGTATCCTTTTTATTATAATATCTTATCTGAACATAGAAACTGTAAACAAATTAATTATAAAATAATATACGATCAAATACGATTGTTTCCTATTTAATTTATTAAATATTCTAATTTTTGATATCCCTTTAAAGTATATTTTTGTAAATAATCACACGTATTAAGATGCCTTAATAATCATAAATAATTTATTAAATATTCTAATTAAAAAGATACCATAATTTCGTCAAATTCATCAAATTAAAAATTTTTGCCATTAATTTTTTCAGTATGTATTGAATACTCTAAAAGATTATTAATTTAAAAAATTTAGAGGTTTCAATTTCTTTAGAAAGCGCAATATATATTAAAACATTAGGTTATAAAATACTTAATTGAATTTCAATAAAAATAATTGTTTTATTATCATAAACATGTAATTTAAATTGATTTTATAGATTTATATATATTATGAAATACAAAGGAAAATTATTAAAAGAATAACATTCTCTCTCAAAGTTACAAAGCAAAATCAAAGTCGTATTATTATCTAAATAGATGATTAAATATCCTAACTAAAAATAAATTTATAAAAGAATATCTTTCTAGAGTATTACATAATAACTAAATATTATTTAAATTATTTACGCATTATTTTTTCTGAATTAAATATCTTTTCACTTAATCCAACTACTACTACTTTTCGATGCTTATAATCTTACAAAAAGGATATTATTATTTTATATTTATCTCATAAAAAATTTGATGTTAAATATCTAGCAAATTAAGAAAATAAGCTAGCTCATTAAAAATATTAATGACTATTTTTTAAAGATAGTAAGTAAGTTGGCATCCTTTTTATAATAATATCTTATCTGAAAAAAAAATCTAAACAAATTAAATAATAAATGATCAAATACGATTAATTATTATTTAATTTCTTAAATATTCTAACTTTTGATATATTTATTTGATATGTCATTTTTAAAGAATATCTTTGTATATAAACGTATATTTTAAGATACCTTAATAATCATAGATATTTTATTAAATATTCTAAATGACTATAGCATTTGTAAATAAAGATTAAAAAAGGTACCAGAATTTCTAGAAATTAGTCAAATTAATAATATTAGACAATACTTTTTTAAGTATTTATTAAATTAATTACGTATTATTTTTTCTAATTGAAATATCATTTCACTTAATCCACCTACTGCTTACTATCGAAGTTTTTAATCTTACAAAAGAATACTATGATTTTATATTTATCTCTTAAAAATTGCATCTTAAAAATTATAAATTTTGTTTATTTAATGTTAAATATGTAAATAAGTAAAACTAGTTTCTTAAAATATAAATGATTGTTTTTTTAAGGATAGTAAGTTGGTATCTTTTTTGTTAAAATATCTTATCTGAAATAGAAACAGTAAACAAATTAATTTGTTAAATATTCAAATTTTTGATATATTAATTTGATGTCATTTTAAAAAAATATCTTTCTAAATAAGTGTAAATATTAAGATGACTTAATAATCATAGATAATTTATTAAATCTTCTAATTAACTATTGCATTCATTATAAATAGAGATTAAAAAAGGTACGAGAATTTCGTTTAATTCATCTAATTAAAAACACTTTTCTTAATTACTATTTCTTCTAATTCAAATACCATTCCACTTAATCAACTTCATTCACTCGCTTAAGACTTTTTAATTAAATAATCTTACAAATTGCATCATAAAGATTTTTTTATTTAATAAAAGGTAATGAATGATAATACTCAAAAATCTATTATATATATTACTATTGATGTAAATAAACACCCTAGGGATATAAATATACAAAAAATGGTAAATTTTAATTATTCAAAATTTTTAAAATGCTTATATTTTCATTATTGTTGCTAGCTGAACAAATTATTTATATTAAATTATAGATCTTACAAAAAGAATTAAAAATGTAATACAAACGTTACAAATAATTTTCTTTTTATGATTTGAATTTTTAATAATCAACTGAAAATAATTTACTTAAATTAAAGTAACATTTCCATCATCATATTTAAGATAGCTCTTCACATGAGATAATAGTAATAGTATCATTTTTGTAATATAATTCAAACCCTAATGAATATTCTTAGGATAATTTAATTAAACCCAAACTATTATCACTAATTTAATTAATATTTCTTCTATGAGGAGAGTCACAAATTTGAAATATTTTTTCATTTACACAGAGCATTATTTCTATTAATTAACATTCTTCAAAATTTTACTAATCACTCAAACTTTTACCCTTTATTATTTTATTCAATTGATTATCATTATTCTTGGAAGTTGAAAATTTGATAATACTTTTATTATTATATATTTCTTAGTCTTTTTGGGAATTACTGACTAAACCAATTATAAATTGATGACTTAAAAAAGAATAAAATTTTATTATTATTCGATAAAAACAATCCTATTTTATTTTCATATAAAAAGTAAAATACCCATCCCTAATAGCTTTAAATGTTTATTAACCATTTTGTTCTTCAATTTATTTTCCATAACTATTATAACCATTTATTTCTGCTTAAAATTTACAAGGCTTAAATTTAGCTATTTTTGTAATCTCAAAAATAGGAAATTTATTTATTAAATTAATAATTATTTCTTTATTAATTTATGTTAAGAAGCTTTTACTTAAAATTTATTTCAAAATAAAGTTTGAAGAAGGTTCTTAATTTCTGAATAAAGACTCATCATTTATTTATGACTCAAGAAATTATCTATTAAAATCAATATATTTATTTTTGAGAATTTAGATTGAATCAATTTAATCTTAAGTTAATTTTTCAAAATCTAATTCTGTTTATTTCTTCCCTTATTAAAAGACATTTTTTCTGATTTTTAAGACATTAATGAGATCTTAAATTTTAAGTAATTCAAATTGAACACTTTTAAGATAATCTTAATTACAATGATTTTATTTATTTTATATCAACTTTAAAATTATATCTAAATTCCCATTTTGATCAAGCTAAATCTCATTTTTTTCATTTGAATTTAATTACTTTAATTTTTCAATTTATTTTGCATTTAAATTTGAGTAGTTTTCCAAATTTAATAGGTATTAATTATCAATTAGCGATACTTAAGATAAAATTGATTCTTTGAATTTGTTTAAAATTGTAAAATCAATTAAATTAAGATGATCCATTTCTGATAACAATTATTCAATTTATTCTTTTTACTTTTCTTAATTTTCTTTGTTTGAGTTTATAATTGACAAAATTTGATCTTATTAATCTTTTTACTAACAATTTTAATCTAGAAGAATATTTTTAAGAGAATCCATTTTTGCTATTTCATTATAGTAATTGACTAAGGATTTTATTTTTTAAAATAAGGTTTCTGCGTGAAGTAACAAACTCTTCTTTTAATTTTATAATTTTTCAATTAAATCATTTTGTAATGTTTCAAAGTAATTACTTATATTATCAAAAATTTATTTGTTTTCATTTTAATATATAATAAATGTGAGAAATTTCTTCATTAATTCCTATTGATTGATAACTGGCCAAGACATTAAAATCTAATTTTCTTTATGGTTTAATATATTTTAGAATGGTAAGAATGAGCTAATTTCATTCCTTTCATAGACGCAACTAAAGCAAGCAAAAATTTCTTCAGCGTTACTAGCGTCCATTTGTAAAAAATTGCATTCTAAATAATGCTTTTTACAAGTGATACAGTTTTGGATTGGGATGTTAAAATCAGCAATGCTAGCCATTATTTGTAAGCTTGATAATTTTTTATAATTTATGATTATTATTTTAATTAAAAAATTATATAAAAACAATATATAAGATGTTCTTTTTGAAGATTGATTAACAAATCTAAACACAGAAAAAGTTTTTTTTCTAATTAAAAACTGATATAATTAGATATTAGCTCAGATTAAGTTTAAAAATATAAATTACATTCTAAGGTTAATGGATTAATAAATTAATGGTAGAAAAACAAGTATTAACTCTAAAAATGATGGAAATTCAACAAAATAAAAAATGAAAGTCTACATATAATATCCTAGGCATTAATCATAATAAATATCTTATTTTTGAATAAGGATAATCAATAAAACTTTTGTAATATGAATTTGATAATCATTATTAAATAAATTAAAGCAACAAAATTTTATTATTTTGATATTTACGTCCTATACAATTTTAAATAAAATTCTTATTTAATCTGATAATGCACATTCTAAAAATAAAATTGAATTTCAGATATGTAAAATTAATGGTAATATATTATTTAATTATTAAAATATAAAAGCTCAAATTTATTACCATAAAAAATAGAAAAATAAAGTAAATCATTGTAAACGGTAGATCACTTCAAATAAAATGATCTAAAAATAACTTTAATTCTAACTTCATAATAATTATAAAAATTAATAAAATTTTTTATATAAATGAAATATATATTACTTTTGATTTGGTAAATATGGTTTAAATATTTTTGAAATTTTTTTTTCATAAAAATTCAAATTTAAAAAATATACAATTCAATTTTAATATTATAGCTCTTCACACTCTAATATAGTTAAACAGTCTTTGTCATAATATAATTCAAATCCTAAATAATATTCTTAGTTTAGGTCTATTAAATTTAACTTATCATCATTTATTTCATTAATATTTTCTCTTTTAGGATAATCACTCACTTAGAACATTTTATTTTTTACACAAAATCTTATTTCTATCTAATTATATTCTTCTGGATATTTCACATCTCTCAAGCATTTCCCTTTTATTACTTTGCTAACTCCACGATCACCTTGATTACTTATTGTATAACTATTAATAATGCTTTTATCATGAATATATACCTAATCTTTGTGAGATTTACTAACTAAACCAATAAATAAAAATTTGTTTGAATCTTTGAATTCAAGATTAATAACTATTCTATACAAACAATCCTATTTTATTTTCATGTTAAAAATAAAAAAATCTCCTTTAACAATTTCAAATTTTTAGTTGCCTTCATTATCATAGCTTTATTTTCCATTAGTATTATAATTTTACCAATTACTTATTTCTACTTCTAACTTTCAAGGATAAGGTTTGACTAATTATTCGATTTCAAAAATAGGAAACCTTCTCAGTAGCTTAGAGATATTTTCTAATTTCTATTTTGTCAATAAATTATCTAGCTTGAATAACTAATTTTAAATTAGGTAGGAGGAAGGTTGTAATTTTGAAGAGATGATCATATTATTATCTTTTTCTTCTTTCAATTATTAGTATTATTCATTTAGATCTACAGTTTTGTTTACAAGTGTTTCTATGCATTCAATTTGATCTTAGCTTAATTTTTCTATTTGAATTTATTTCTTCCCTTACAAAAAAACATCCTTGTCAATATTTAAGTTATTTATTAAATCTTAAATTTTTAGTAGTTCAGACTAAACAGATTTAAGATAACTTTCATTACAATTGTTAGTTTTGTTTGCTATAAGGCTGAGAAGAGTATCTAAATTTTCATTTTCTTTTAATAAAATATTTTAATTTTGTTATTCATTTTTAAATTCATCAATTAGTGTATTATTTTTATAAGAGAAATTCTGTAAATTTGATAAATATTTACAATCAATTAGCTCGATTTAGGATAAAATAGAATTTTTAAAATATTTCAGTGCATTTAAATCAATGGTTTAATATTAATTTAATTGAGATAATTCTTATTTAATTTTATTTTTATACTTTTCTTAATTCGATTTGTTTATCTTAAATATTTATAAAATTTGATCAGCTTTTTATTATTTTTATGTATTTGAATCAATAATATTTTTTAGAGCATCAAATTAAGCTATTTCTCGATAATAATCAAATAACTAGTTTGTATTTTCGGAAATGGTGTCTGCATAGATTAACATATTCTTCTTTTATTTTTGTAATGCTTGTTCTATTTCATTTTATAAATCTTCAAAAAACTTAGTAATATTTTTTTAAATTGACTTTTAATCTCCTTAATACTAAGAAAACAACTATATTTGTTTTGTTAATTCGTATTCATCTAAAAGTGGCCAATTCATTAAGACTGTATTGTCTAATTTATCTTTTATATCTTGCAAAGAAAGATATTTTCTAAAATTATTATAAGAATAAATACAATTAGAGCAAGCATAGATATGATCAGAGTTATCACTATCAGCTTTTAAATATAAGCATGGCAATTCATGCTTTTAGCAAAGTATCTGATTAAAATTTTAACTATTATTTAAAATATTATCCATTTATTTTTATTAAATTAAAATCTAATTAATTTATTATAGATAATTAACTGAAGCTATTGTTCATTTAATTTATTTGCTCTACTTAGAGTCTATAGCAAATTTTTCAATTTAAATTACAAATTATAGATTTAAAAATTATGAACTCAAAAATATTTTAAAAAATAGGGGTTTCTGTTTCATTTGAGAGCGTAATATATATTAAAGCATTAGATTATAAAATATTATATTGAATTTCAATAAAAATAATTGTTTTGTTTTCATTTTTGCATATTATGAAATACAAAGGAAAATTATTAAAAGAATAACATTCTCTCTCAAAGTTACAAAGCAAAATCAAAGTCGTATTATTATCTAAATAGATGATTAAATATCCTAATTAAAAATAAATTTATAAAAGAATATCTTTCTAGAAGTATTACATAATAACTAAATATTATTTAAATTACTTACGCATTATTTTTTCTAATTTAAACATCATTTCACTTAATCCACCTACCATTTTCGAAGTTTGTTATCTTACAAAAGGATACTATCATTATATATTTATCACTTAAAAATTGCATCTTAAAAATTATTAATTTTGCTTATTTGATGTTAAATATCTAATAAAGTAATTCAATATACTAGCTTTTTAATAATATAAATGAGTATTTTTAAGGAAAGTAAGTTGGTATCCTTTTTATAATAATATCTTATCTGAAATAGAAACTGTAAACAAATTAAATAATATATGATCAAATACGATTAATTTGTATTTAATTTCTTAAATATTCTAACTTTTGATATATTTATTTGATATGTCATTTTTAAAGAATATCTTTGTATATAAACGTATATATTAAGATGCCTTAATAATCAGAGATAATTTATTAAATATTCTAAATGACTATAGCATTATTAGCAAAGATTAAACAAGATACCACAATTTCTAGAGATTCGTTTAATAAAATATTAGATGATACTTTTTCTAGTATTTATTGAGTTAATTATTTGTTATTTTTTCTAATTGAAATATCATTTCATTTAATCCACCTACTACCTTTCGAAGTTTATAATTTTACAAAAGAATACTATGATTTTATATTTATCTCTTAAAAATTGCATCATAAAAATTATTAAAATTATAAATAATTTTTATTTGATGCTAAATATCTAACAACAAAGCAATTAAACTAGCTTTTTAAAAATATTAATGATTATTTATTTAAGGATAGTAAGTTTGTATCCTTTTTGTTATTATATCTTATCTAAGATAGGAAGCATAAACAAATTAATTTGTTAAATAATCTAATTTTTGATATATTAATTTGATGTCATTTTTAATTAAAATTCTTTGTAAATAAGTGTATATATTAAGATGACTTAATAATCATAGATAATTTATTAAATATTCTAATTAACTATAGCATTCATTATAAACAAACAGATATTAAAAAAGGTACCAGAGTATATTTAAATTCAACAAATTATAATTCAAATATCTTAAAAATGATATTATCTATTATTATTAAAATTAATGCTTGAAAAAGAAATATATAATCATGCAAAATATATGTATATAATTATTTAGATTAGATTAAATTAAATTTTATCTTCACATTAATAAACTGATTGAAGATTGTCAATACTAAAAATTTTAATATTTGAAATCTATATTTCACCATAAAGTTGTATAAATCAGATTTTCTCCTTAATTATTTAATTATTTAAAAATTTAATAAAGGAAATTAAAATAACAAATTACTTATAAAATTTTTTAATGTAATTAAAATTATATCGTTAAATAAATAGAAAATATTTCCAAAGTCAGACTTAAAAATTCTGTCCTTGAAGAATCAAAACAGTATTTAACTAACTCAATCAATTTATTAAATCTAATATAAAATATTTACTGTTTTTGTTATTATTTACCTATATTTCTATTTTTTTATTCTATTTCATCAAATTTTTATTTTTAAAAACTTAAAGCACTGTTATTGAATATCAAATTATATTAGAACATTTATTTTCTATTTATTATCTTTATTCAAATAACTACAAATAAAATATCATTTAAAAAATTTAACACAATTTAAATAACTTTACAATTTTTTAAAGATAAACAACAATAACAACTCATGTTATTTTTTAACTAAAATATTTAATTAAAGAATCAAAACTGTTGTAAGTTTCTTTTAAATTAAAAATATTTTTCAAAAATTAAAATTAAAAAAAATATACAATTCAATTTTAACATTAAAGTTCTTCACACTCTAAAATTGTCAAAGATTCTTTATCATAAAATAATTAAAATCCTAAATAATATTCTTAGTTTATGTCTATCAAATTTATCTTAGCATCATTTATTTCATTAATATTTTCTCTTTTAGGATAATCACTCACTTAGAACATTTTATTTTTTACACAAAATGTTATTTCAATCTAATTATATTCTTCTGGATATTTCACATCTCTCAAGCATTTCCCTTTTATTACTTTGCTAACTCCTACATCACCATAAACACTCCCAGTAGTAAAACTATTAATAATGCTATTATCATGAATATATTTCTAATCTTTGTGAGATTTACCAACTAGACCAATAAATAAATATCTATCTGAATGTTTTAATTCAAGATTAATAACTATTCTATACAAACAATCCTATTTTATTTTCATGTAAAAAATAAAAACGCCTTATTTAACTATTTCAAATTTGTAGTTGCCTTCATTATCATAGCTTTATTTTCCATTAGTATTATAATTACCCCAATTACTTATTTCTACTTCTAACTTGCAAGGTTTGACTAATTATTCAATTTCAAAAATAGGAAACCTTCTCAGTAGTTTAGAGATACTCTCTTATTTCTATTTTGTCAATACATTATCCATCTAATTATAAACTAGGTAGGAGGAAGGTTATAATTTTGAAGAGATGCTCATATTATTATCTTCATCTTCTTTCAATTATTAGTATTATTCATTTAGATCTAGAGTTTTGTTTACAAGTGTTTCTATGCATTCAATTTGATCTTAGCTTAATTTTTCTAAACCTATTTGAATTTATTTCTTGCCTTGCTAAAAAACATGCTTTTCAATATTTAAGACATTTATTAGATCTTAAATTTTTAGGAGTTCAGATTTAACAGATTTAAGATAATTTTCATTACAATTGTTAGTTTTGTTTGCTATAAGGTTGAGAAGTGTGTATAAATTTTCATTTTCTTTTAACAAAATATTTTAATTTTGTTATTATTTTTTGAATTCTTCAATTAGTATATTATTTTTTTAAGAAAAAAGCTGTAAATTAGATAAATATTTACCATCAATTAGCTCAATTTATGATAAAATAGAATCTTTAAAAGATTTCAATACATTTAAATCTATGATTTGCTATTAATTTAATTGAGATAATTCTTATTAAATTTTATTTTTATAGTTTTCTTGATTCTATTTGTTTGTCTTAAATATTTATAAAATTTGATCAGCTTTTTATTATTTTTATGTATTTGAATCAATAATATTTTTGAGAGCATCAAATTAAGCTATTTCTTGATAATACTCGAATAATTAGTTTACTTTTTCGGAAATACCATCTGCATAGATTAGCATATTTTTCTTTTATTTTTGTAAAGTTTGTTCTATTTCATTTTATAAATCATTAAAAAAATCAGTTATATTGTTTTAAATTAAGTTTTAATCTCCTTAGTACTAATATAATTACTTGATTTGTTTTATTAATTTAGGTTCATCTAAAATTGGCCAATTTACCAAGACTTTATCGTCTTTTTTATATTTTATATCTTAAAAAGCCAGGCATTTTCTGAAATTATTATTTTCATAAATACAATCAGAACAAACATAAATATCATCAGAGTTATCGCTATCAACTTGTAAATATAAGCATGGTAAATTATGCTTTTAGCAGAGTATCTGATCAAAATTTTAACTATTATTTATAATTCTATCCATTTATTTTAATTTAATTAAAATCTAATTATAATTATTATAAATAATTAACAGAATATATTGTGCATTTAATTAATTTGCTATGCTTAGAATCTATTACAAATATTTAGATTTAAATTACAAATTAGGGATTTAAAAATTATGAACTCAAAAATCTTTTTTAAAAATAAGGGTTTAAGGTTCATTTGAGAGCATCATATATATTAAAACATTAGATTATAAAATACTCTTTTGAATTTCAATAAAAAGAATTATTTTGTTGTCATATAAATGCAATTTAAATATGATTTTATATATATATTTTCGTATATTATGAAATACAAAGGAAAATTATTAAAAGAATAACATTCTCAAAGTTAAAAAGCTAAATAAAAGTCGTATTATCATCCTCTAAATAAAGTTATAAAAGAATATCTTTTTAGAAGTATAATATAATAAGTTAATATTATTTAAATTATTTACGCATTATTTTTTTCTAAAAGAAATATCTTTTCACTTAATCCACCTACTTACTTACTTACTTACTTACTTACTACTTACTACCTTTCGAAGTTTTTAATCTTCCAAAAAGGATACTATCATTTTATATTTATCTCTTAAAAATTGCATCATAAAAATTATAAAATTTTTTTGTTGATGTTAAATATCTAATAAAGTAAGTAAATAAACTAGCTTTTTAAAATATAAATAAATGATTATTTTTTTAAGGATAGTAATTAAGTAAGTTGGTAGGTATCCCTTTTATAATAAATAATATCTTATCTAAAATAGAAAATGTAAACAAATTAATTTTAAAATAACATTTGATCAAATACGATTAATGTTTATTAAATTTAATGACAATTCTAATTAATTTTTGATATATTAATCTGATATGTCATTTTTAAAAAATATCTTTGTATATAAGCGTATATATTAAGATGCTTTAGTAATCATAGATAATTTATTAAAGATTCTAAATAACAAAAGCATTATAAGCAAATATTAAAAAAAATACCAGAATTACTTGAAATTCGTAAATTAAATATTAGGCAATACTTTTTCGAGTATTTATTGAATTACTTACACATTATTTTTTCTAATAGAAATTTCATTTCACTTACTCAACCTACTATATTTCGGTGCTTATAATCTTACAAAAGGATACATACTATCTAATATTTTATATTTTTTTCTTAAAAATTTTAACATAAAAATTATAAATTTTGTTTATTTGATGTTAAAAATCTATAAAATTAAGTAAGTAAAATAAATAGCTTTTTAAAAATATAAATGATTATTTTTTAAGGATAGTAAGTGTGTATCCTTTTTGTTATAATTTCTTATCTGAAATAGAAAGCCTAAACAAATTAATTTGTTAAATATTATAATTTTTGATATATTTATTATATAAGAGGAAAAGTGAGGTCTGGAGCAATATTTTTTAGACTAGCTTTTTAAAACAAATTTATAACTTATAAATT